AAGTTTGAACTCTTGCGGGAGTCTCTCTCTACTCCACGATAGATCTTTCTCACTCTTCTCGCTTTTTTCTCTCTCTCCCTCCGGCTCACGTGACTCCTCAACTCTCTCTCTCTCCCTACCCCAGTCACGACCGAACTCTTGTCTGAAGAACCACGCTGCCGCCTACGACTCCGGCTCCTCCGTTGCCTCTGTCGTCGCCAAATTGCCTGGCTTCTCTCCTTCTCCATCTTTCTCTCTAAAACCTTCTGCGATGACATTCTGGTCACTCTCTCTCTCTTCCCTTCCTGACTCACGCGATGATGCTTTGCTCTCTACCACGCCGCCGCCTCGGCCTCGAAAGGTACAGATTTTCATGTGGGTAGTTTTTGGGACATTTAAATTTGGGGAAAATCCAAAAATTCCGAATCAATAGTACAATTTGTGTGTACATGTGTTTTCTATTTGGATTTGGATCATTTTTAGTGGTTTATGCTTCTAATTAAGTGAATACGATGTGGGTTTATTTATTCGATAAACATATGTTTCTGCTAGCGCTATCATGGACTACATGTCCGTTCTAATAATACATGGCAATTTCTTCTTATCCGGAGCGAAAACCATTTTTTACGTTGGTTTGATGACAATAGTTTGTTCTCATGGGATCTTGATTATGAGATAGAGAAGCGGGGGAGGGAAAGTGATAAACCAAAGTCTGTCTTGAATATCTTTTCTGATAATGAACTTCACATTATGTCTTTTATGTGGATGAATGTGCCGAAATCCTGTCTTTCGCAATTTGGGTAAAGTACTTCAGATGATTTGTTGAGAGTCGTTTGAGCTTATATGTACTTTAGGTCTCGTGGTTGATTCTTTTAATAAGAAAAGCCTCCTCATCAACATAATGCTTAGGAAATCATTTCAATATTGTTAACTCAAACCGGTAAGATTAGTTTTTGTATGAAACCAAGGCTGTTTTGGTTTTAATTGGTCTGTTATTATAGTTTTGTGAGCATATATATGAGTATGGACATCCATAATAATTTATATACATCTATTTCTCGTCAAGTAAGGTCATTACTGAACTTAAACTTACTGTAATTAACTTTAAAGCTTGCTGGTTGGGACTGTTTTAGTGTCATTTAAATCCAATTTGGTATCAATTTGGGTACAAATTTATCGAATGGCTGAATCAGAGGTAATTCGTCATTCATGCTATGTGAAAAACATTTTGCTTTCTTAAGTAACGAATGAGATGTTATTTTACTTGTAAAAGCACTATGTTAATTACGTTTTATTCTTTTAGTTGCAGCATGAAACTTCCCATCTTGCACACGTAATGCGTGCTATGTTAATTACGTTTTATTCATTTTAAATCCAATTTGATACCAAATTGGATTTAAATGACACTAAAACAGTCCCAACCAACAAGCTTCAAAGTTAATTCCAGCAAGTTTAAGTTCAGTAATGACCTTACTTGACGAGAAATAGATGTATATAAATTATTGTGGATGCCCATACTCATACATATGCTCACAAAACTATAATAACATACCAAGAACATTTGATTAGATGTGGAAGAATCATGTCCATTATCTAATACTTGCTAGGGTATTTTAATTGACATGCTTAAAGCTGGCATTGAGAGGACTACGGCACATGATTTTTTAACAAATGAAGCAGAAGGAAACAAAAACTTGGATTTCAACCTGTGTGATTGTCAAAATTATTTGCAAACAAAAAGATCTGATTGTATAAGTGGAAGAGATTGTCAAAGTCTTCTATCATTTTCATTGCATGCCAATGCAAAATGCAATGTTTTCCTACGCTGTACAAGTAGATCAAGATGGTAGATTGACAGATTTATTTTAAAGTGATAGCTTGTCCAAATTTGATTACGAATTTTTCGATGATTGTTAGTGTTTGATACCATGTATTGTATCAACAAATATAACATGATATGTATACCTTTTGTTGAGGTTAATCACCATTGGAATAATATTTTGTTTGGCTATACATTTTTGTTGGATGAGACTACAAATAATTTATTTCATTATTTGAGACATTTTTGAAGTTTATGGGAAATAAGGCTTCGAAAATCATGTTCACTTATCAATACCAAGCCATAACAAAAGCCATTAAAATGGTTTTTTTGAATGCACATCATCGTTTATGCTGGGGCACACACTCTAAAATAATAATAACTTGAGTTTCCTAACCTTATCAATCCAGAAATTTCAAATCAACATCTAAAACTTTCAAATCAACATCCAAAACAGACGTTGGTTTTATTAGGGATAAGAATACTAGGAGTGTCATAACTTTTATATGGCGCTCACATGAAGGCCGTAACTTTTTTTTCTCACTTGAGTGCTACATCGAAGTAAAATGGATCATTTGAGTGCCATTTCCGGCAAACCATCCTACGTGGATTTTTTAATTAATTTTCCATCCGACATGGATTTTTCGATGTTATTTTATTTTATTTTATTGATTTTATTTGAATTTTTTTTCTTTCTTATTTTTCCTTTTTTCTTTTCAAGGTTGGCGAGGGTCGCCGGTTGTGACATCCTCGATTTCGGGCTTAGGAAGCCGAGGGCTAGTAAGACATGGATGAACGGGCAAGTCGAGTCGAGGGTCGGTAATGGAATGGACAGCATGATCGGAACGAGTGTACTGAGGGTTGGTCGTGGTTCGATCGAAAGATTGTCCATGAATTGGCCTAGAGATCGACAGTGGAATGACCCCCCTGACTACGCAAATGATTAGAGTAATATGACCATGGAGTGACCCTTCGACCATAAGGGTCGTTAGTGGAACGGTCCGGGATAACTGTGGATTAGTCCGGTGTCGGCATGTGTCGGTCGCGGGTGATACTGCACGGCCATGCATTAGTCCCGGGTGACCATAAGTTAATTCCGGGGTACTGAATTCTACGAGGCTACATGACAACCGAGGGTCGACCACGGGTCGTTGATACTTGAACGTGGCTCGGTCACGAATCGGCCACGGATCATTGCGATGAGTCGGGTAGGGCATGGACGAGACATGTGCCAGGCCATGTGCCCAGTGGCTTAGTCCCGGCTCGGGCAAAATTACCAGTCGCGACGGCCAAGGCCATGTGCCCGGTCATGACCGGCCATCGTGCCCGTCAGCCAAGCCACGACCGGCTACGTACCCGGTCGTGCGCCGACTATTGTGCCCGACCCTTGTGCCACGAGTTGTGCCCATAAGATCCGGTTCCGGTCACATCCCGTGCCCAAGAAATATGGCCATGAGTCGTGCAACGTGCCATTCAGGGCCGTTGTGCGTGTTTGGCAGTGAACCGACCCCTCGCTCATATGACCCGGCATGATGCTCGGCACGGTACCCATACGGCCGGCAAAGCACTAGGCACGTCGCCCGTGCGGCTAGGCAAGCCGCTCGGCACGTTGCCCGTGCGGCCCGGCCATGTGCCCGTGTGGCCCGGCCATTTGCCCGGTGACCCGGCCACGCGCCCAGGCCACCCGAGAAGCCCAATTTGGCCTAGTTTGGCTTAGATTTTTGTAGGGCTATGTTTGGTCACTTGTGGAGGCTTTTCCACATTAAACCTCATTTTAAATGGAATTATTAGAATTATTTATCGCGAGAAAACCCTCAGAAAATTATGAGACTTAATATGATGCTGGGTTGCGATTTTAGCGCCGTTTGGCCAATTTCGGGTAAACCGATTGGCCCGAGAGGTTTTTGAGTGAAACCAACTAGCTTGTAAGCCTCCCATGGTTCGGGTTTTGGCTGAAGAAAAGAGATAAAAATAGTTGACTTGGTCAAAGGTGCAATTATTGCCATTTAAGCTTCCATTATTGGACCCCCATGAGGTGTCCCCCTCCATTATTGTCTCCAAGCTGAGCTGTGCTCCCTCCAATTATGGCTCATTAAGGCCCCTTGGTGACTCATTGGTCACCAATAATAGAGCCTAAGGCATGGCCAATAATTGGCCAAGCAATAATTGGCCAAGCCAAGGGAGCCGAATAAGAGGGCCATTCGGCCAAGAGGAGAGAGAGAGAGAGAGAGAGAGAGAGAGAGAGAGAGAGCCAATGAGGAAGAGATAAGCTTTGGCCATTTATCATTTCCTTTGGCCATAGTCCATAAATGAGCATAAATGACCTTATCTCTTAGTAACATAAGTCATGACCTAATCCCTTGATGACCTAAGCCATGACCCAAGCAAAGGCCATTACATATAGGGAAAGGGAACCCCACGTGAAGATCCCTCATCTCACGCCAACCTCACCATCTTCTTCTTCTTCCTTTGTTTCTTGTTTTCTCACTTTCGGCCCGAGAAGCTCATGCCCAAACCAACCCTGAACCGGCCTGTGTTTCATCTCGTTTCCTACCCTAGAGCCCACGGTTTGGCCTTTGTAAGCCTAGGTTTGCTTGGTCACGCAAGAAGGAAGCAAGGAGGAAGCCCGAAATTTCCCGAGCTCACCCATTTCTAGCCCGTTCTCTAGCCCGTTCTCTAGTGTTGTTAGTTGTTGTGTAAGTGAATTCCCTAATATCGGGAAAGGAAGTTATGATACGTTGTAACATGGGTTGTTTTGCCCGTTTCTTGGTTTCGTGGTTGATTCACTTGGCCCGTTTTCTTGGTCTCATGGTTGTTCGTTCTTTCTCAACTAAGTATGTTCACGTGTGATGTTTGTTTTGTTGGTTTCGTAGCATGACTTTGCTATTTGAATTGCCATCGATGCCGGTACGGTAAGAATCGACTTGTGCGAACGACGATTGTCTCGTCCTCGCTTGGTATTAGAGTTTTTACTTGCTGAGTCTCCCCGACTCATCCCCCGTTGTCTCCTTTTTTCAGGTCCGTAGGATGGTATCTCCCCCAGCCCGCGTTGGCAATCCCGTGGAGATAAGAGCCGAATTGCTCACCGTGATAAATGTCAGAGAAGACCGCGCCTACTGCCGAATCACGACGCTTGTGATGTTCGATGAGGGCCTAACGGACTTGGTGTCTCATCCGTACGTGACGTGGTATCATTACGCGAATGGAGAATGGGTTGATCCCTATGTGGGTTCAACGGTGCTTTGGCGGTGCGGGCGGGCAGGCTCCGGGCCAAGGCCACGGGTGGGATGTGAGATGGCCAGGCGGACGAGACCGAGGTGGAGATGAAGAAGCGAGGAGCGAGAAGCCATAATGGGTATAGGATAACCCAAGTCAAGTTTTGCTATCCTTAGTTGGCCTGTATTTAGTATGTTTGCATGCGTTGTAAACATAAGGTTTGCTCATGATACTTCTTATCTTATACCGCTGTGTGTATTGGTTGTGATTGTCCCGAAATTATGCTTCCGCTTGTGTATAAAAAAAATAACAATAAACGGGACGTCACATGAATAACCCCGAGGTGGGGGCGTTACAGTCTAATTTGGTATCAAAACAGGTTTTCCCTCCAGTAGGTGCAGTTTATGGTAACTTGCGAATGGATGATCCGACTAGGGCGGGGAGTGGCGCCGGGGCCATACGACCTGAACATTGAGCGACCTCTTACGAGGTGGCACAGGGGTCATGAATGCCTGAACATTGTGCGGCCTCTACGGAGGTGGCGCCGGGGCAATAATACCTGATCATTGTGCGGCTTCTGACCGAGGTGGCGCCGGGGCGGGTAGCCTGATCATTGTGCGACCTCTGAAAAGAAGTGGCGCCGAGGTACATATATATACCACCTGATCATTGTGCGGCTTTTGAAAGGAAGTGGCGCCGGGGTGAAGGGCCTGATCATTGAGCGGTTTTTGGCAGGCTTCTAGGACGACTAAAGAACGAGAATTTCCGAACTGTGCACCGAAATGTGGAAAACGGTTATGAAAACCAAGCGAAAATAAAGGCCTGGAGTGATAAGGTGCGCTGAAATTGGGGTAGTTAGCCAGGAAACACCCCGTGCATGTGACTGTGTGTATGTGTACCTGATTGATTGGTAAGTAGGCATTTGATTGTTAAGTTTTTGATTGCTGACATGCTCTTGCGTTGTAGAAAGCCTTAGTAGATTACCAACGGCAATGTGAGTGCTCAGGACCCGGCCTCCACCTCGAAAGGAAAGTCAAAGCAAGATCCCCGAATAGACGGAATTCTGCAGGCTCTGGCGACCGTAGGAGAATTGCTGGGACAACAAGTACAGCAACAAGCACAGCAACGACTACCTATTGCTGAGAATGTAGCGGCGACAAATGGAAATGGGAATGGTGACCGTACGATGCATGGATTGGTCGAGCAGTTCCTGAAGCTGCGACCCCCGAAATTTGCTGGAACTGGAGATCCTGAAGAGGCGGAATCCTGGATCGATGAGTTACAGAAAGCATTTGAACTTCTGCGATGTTCCGAGGAAGATAAAGTCACCTTAGCAGCCTATCAACTACAAGGGAACGCCAGCTATTGGTGGAAGGCGACTAAGGAAATCGTATTCCCAGGAAATGCTGCAGTGAATTGGAATGCTTTCGTTGAGGCATTCAACGGGAAGTATTTTTCCGAGTGTGCTCGTGATCGGAAGATGAAAGAATTTCTGCAACTCCAACAGGGAAATATGACGGTGGACCAGTATGAAGCAAGGTTCGCTCAGTTGTCAAGGTACGCCCCGAGACTTATTGAAAATCCAGTCGACAGGGCAAAACGATTCCGTGATGGTCTCAAACCTGACATCCGGAGTCAGTTAGTACCTCTGAACCTGAAAGATTATAACAAATTATATGAACGAGCTCAACTGATCGAGAAAGATTTGCTGGAGAGGGTCCCTTCGGCAAGACCTCATTATTCTACTCCCCGAATGGATCAACGTTTGGGCAATAGGCCAGTAACAAGGGGAAAACGTCCCTTTATTTCCAACAAGAAGCGGAATTTTCAGCAGACAGCTAATGTTTCTGGTAATACTTGTTCTGTTTGTGGAAGACAGCATGGCGATGCCCCGTGCCCCATTCGTACGGGAGCATGCTTCGGGTGTGGCCAACAAGGTCACATGGTCGGCGACTGTCCACAACGGCGACAGAATATACCTTCACAGCAAAGACAGGTGACAGCATCAACTGGAGTTCAACCTCGTGCTAACAACGGCGATCGTCCTCTGGCACAAGGACGAATATATGCACTTACTCAAGAGGATGATGAGAACTCCAACGCAGTGATTACAAGTACGATTTTCCTCAATAACCGTGCTGCATATGCGTTAATTGATACTGGAGCTACACACTCATTCGTATCTAGTCAATTTGTACGTTTGGCCAAACTTGAGATGAAACCGTTAAAAAATGCACTTAGTGTTTCTACTCCGATGAAAAATGAAGTGCAGACTACCCTAGGATGTCAAGGGTGTAAGATAATTATAGGCGGACTGGCGGATATTATAAATCTAGCGGTACTGGCCATGTATGATTTTGATGTTATCATTGGTATGAATTGGCTTAGTAAACAGCAAGCCAATATAGACTGTTATAGCAAGGTGATTCAGTTTCATCCCCCTGATCGCCCCTGCTATACATTTGTGGGTAATGGAGGAGGACCTTCTACTTCTCTGATTTCTGCTTTAGAAGCAACCCGACTATTGCAGAAAGGTTGTCAAGGATTTCTGGCAACAATAGAAAATACAACAAAGGAAGACGAACCAAAGTTAGAAGATATCCTGGTGGTACGAGAATTTCCGGATGTTTTTACAAAAGAATTACCAGGTCTACCTTCGAAACGAGAAGTAGAATTTGCTATCGAAGTAGTTCTTGGAATAGAGCCTATTTCCAAAGCTCCCTACAGGATGTCTTTAACCGAGTTGAAAGAGCTCAAGGTGCAACTGCAGGAATTACTTGATAAGGGCTTCATCCGTCCAAGTGCATCTCCCTGGGGTGCACCCATATTGTTCGTGAAAAAGAAAGACGGATCATTGCGACTTTGTATCGACTATCGACAGTTAAATCGGGTTACTATAAAAAATAAGTACCCACTGCCGAGAATCGATGACTTATTTGATCAACTCCAAGGAGCATCCGTGTTTTCTAAGATCGATCTAAGGTCGGGATATCTTCAGCTAAGAATCAAGAAGGAGGATATTCCAAAGACGGCATTCCGAACCCGATATGGCCATTATGAATTCACCGTTATGCCATTCGGTTTGACGAATGCTCTAGCATCCTTTTATGGACCTGATGAATTGAGTGTTCAAGCCATACTTGGATCGTTTCGTCATAGTCTTTATTGACGACATCCTGGTATACTCGAAGAATTCGGCTCAACATGAACAACATTTGAAATTCGTGCTTCAGACGCTCAGGGAACACGCACTTTATGCAAAATTTAGCAAGTGCGAGTTCTGGCTATCCCGCGTAGTGTTTCTCGGCCACGTGATCTCGGGAGACGGCATATCAGTAGATCCATCCAAAATTGAAGCGGTAATTAACTGGCCAAGACCAACGACTGTCACCGAAGTTTGAAGTTTCTTGGATTTGGCGGGATATTACAGAAGGTTCGTGGAACGATTCTCTAGCATCGCTATCCCCTTAACGCGATTGCTAAAGAAGGAAACGAAGTTTGAATGGACTGACAAATGTGAGCGAAGCTTTCAAGAATTGAAATGAAGACTGATGACGGCTCCTGTTCTGACTATACCTAAAGGACCAGGAGGATTTGAAATATACATCGACGCCTCTCATAAAGGGCTAGGCTGTGTATTGATGCAGGATAGCAAAGTGGTGGCTTATGCCTCGAGACAATTGAGGCCATACGAATTGAATTATCCAACTCATGATCTGAAACTTGCTGCAATCGTGTTTGCCTTAAAATTTTGGCGACACTACTTATATGGGGAGCAATTTGTTATCTATACGGATCATCAAAGCTTGAAATATTTGTTTTCCCATAAGGAGCTGAATATGAGGCAACGACGTTGGATGGAACTTCTCAAGGACTACGACTGCGAGATATTGTATCATCCTGGCAAAGCAAACAAAGTTGTCGATGCTCTTAGTCGAAAATCGGCCATCGCCCACTTGATGGTCAAGGAATGGACCTTACTTGAGGAAGCTCGGGACTTGGACTTCAAGCTGGAAGTTGGGCATCATCAGAATTTACTAGCTGCTCTCAGAATCGAGCCGGACATCATATTGAAAATCAAAGCGTTACAACAAACAGACCCAGAGATTTAGAAAGTCCCGAAGGAGTTAGTAGAAAAGAAGAAATCCAATTTTTATGTGACTGATGGCGGAATCTTGAAGTTTCATGGACGCCTATGCGTGCCAAAGGATGAACAACTCAAGGAAGAAATCTTGACAGAAGCTCACAAGAGCAATTACAGTATTCATCCAGGCAGTACCAAAATGTACCAGAATTTACGACAACATTTCTGGTGGAACGGCATGAAGATGGACATAGCCAAGCATGTGGCTAAATGCTTGACGTGTCAACAAATCAAGGCTCAACATTGCAAGCCTGGCGGATTATTGCAACCATTGAAAATTCCTGAATGGAAGTGGGAACACATTACAATGGACTTTGTAATGGGATTACCGAGAAGTTAGCGAGGACATGATTCGATATGGGTGATTGTTGACCGACTGACAAAATCAGCCCATTTCCTTCCAGTGAGAAAGGATCTTCCATTGGAGGATTATGCCGAGTTATATGTTCGTCATATTGTATGACTACACGGAGTCCCAGTAACGATCACATATGATCGAGATCCAAAGTTTACTGCAACTTTCTGGCAGAGTCTCCAAACCGCTATGGGAACGAAGTTACAATACAGTACAACCTATCATCCGTAGACGGATGGCCAAACAGAAAGAACTATCCAGACCCTTGAGGATATGTTGCGATCATGCGTCGTGGATTTCAAGGGGAGTTGGGATGAACATTTGCATCTCATTGAATTTGCATATAACAACAGTTACCAGCAAAGTATCGGGATGGCACCATTCGAGGCATTATACGGTCGAGCTTGCAGAACTTCAGTCTGTTGGGATGAGGTCGGGGAAAAGAAGGTCACGGGTCCAGAGCTAGTACAACTCACCAATGAGGTCATGCAAGTGGTTAGAGATAAGTTGAGAACTGCCCAAAGCCGACAGAAAAGTTATGCTGACAAACGTAGGAAGCCTCTAGAGTTTCAGGTAGGCGACCACATGTTTCTTAAAATGTCACCCATGAGGGGTGTGTCGCGTTTTGGGAAGAAAGGTAAGTTAAGCCCCAGGTACGTAGGACTTTTGAAATTCTAGAAAGAATATGGAATTTGGCTTATCGGTTGGCGCTGCCACCGAAACTTGCTCAGGTGCATGACGTGTTCCATGTATCCATGTTGAGAAAGTATGAACCCGATTCGGCACATGTGCTGAATTTCGACGAGGTCGAATTGGACAGCAGAGTGTCCTATGTTGAGGAGCCGGTGTGGATCGTGGATCGTAAAGAGCAAGTGTTGAGAAATAAAACTATTCCCGTAGTAAAGGTCCTATGGCGACACCATGGCATAGAGGAAGCTACCTGGGAAGGTGAGGAAGTCATGAAGCAGCAGTATCCGCATGTGTTCGAGGAACCAGGTACGTGTTTAAATTTCGAGGACGAAATTTTATTAGAGGGGGAGAATTGTGACATCCCCGATTTCGGGCTTAGGAAGCCGAGGGCTAGTAAGACATGGATGAACGGGTAAGTTGAGTCGAGGGTCGGTAATGGAATGGACAGCATGATCGGAACGAGTGTACTGAGGGTTGGTCGTGGTTCGATCAAAAGATTGTCCATGAATTGGCCTAGGGATCGACAGTGGAATGACCTCCCTAACTACGCAAATGATTAGAATAATATGACCGTGGAGTGACCCTTCGACCATAAGGGCCGTTAGTGGAACGGTCCGGGATAACTGTGGATCAATCCGGTGTCGGCATGTGTCGATCGCGGGTGATACCGCACGGCCATGCATTAGTCATGGGTGACCATGAGTTAATTCCACGGTACTAGATTCCACAAGGCTACATGACAACCGAGGGTTAACCACGGGTCGTTGATACTCGAACGTGGCTCGATCACGAATCGGCCACGGATCGTTGCGATGAGTCGGGTAGGCCATGGACGAGACATGTACCAGGCCATGTGTCTAGTGGCTTAGTCCCGACCCGGGCAAAATTGCCGATCGCGATGGCCAAGGCCTGTGCCCGGTCATGACCGGCCATCGTGCCCGTCAGCCAGGCTACGGACCGGCGACGTGCCCGGTCGTGCCCCAGCCATTGTGCCTGACCCTTGTGCCACGAGTTGTGCCCATAAGATCGGGTTCTGGTCTCGTCCCGTGCCCAAAAAATATGGCCATGAGTCGTGCAACGTGCCATTCACGGGCCGTTGTGCGTGTTTGGCCGTGAACCGACCCCTCGCTCGTATGACCCGGCATGGTGCTCGGTACGGTACCCATACGGCCGGCAAGGCACTAGGCACGTCGCCCTTGCGGCCAGGCAAGCCGCTTGGCACGTTGCTCGTGCGGCCTGGCCTCGTGCCCGACCAAGTGCCCGTGTGGCCAGGCCATTTGCCCGTTGACTCGGCCACGCGCCCAGGCCACCCGAGAAGCCCAATTTGGCCTAGTTTGGCTTAGATTTTTGTAGGGCTATGTTTGGTCACTTGTGGGGGCTTTTCCACATTAAACCTCATTTTAAATGGAATTATTAGAATTATTTATCATGAGAAAACCCTCGGAAAATTATGAGACTTAATATGATGCTGGGTTGCGATTTTAGCGCCGTTTGGCCAATTTCGGGTAAACCGGTTGGCCCGAGAGGTTTTGAGTGGAACCAACTAGCTTGTAGGCCTCCCACGGTTCGGGTTTTGGCTGAAGAAAAGAGATAAAAATAGTTGACTTGGTCAAATGTGCAATTATTACCATTTAAGCTTCCATTATTGGACTCCCATGAGGTGTCCCCCTCCATTATTGTCTCCAAGCTGAGCTGTGCCCCCTCCAATTATGGCTCATTAAGGCCCCTTGGTGACTAATTGATCACCAATAATAGAGCCCAAGGCATGGCCAATAATTGGCCAAGCCAAGGGAGCCGAATAAGAGGGCCATTCGGCTAAGAGGAAAGAGAGAGAGAGAGAGAGTGTGTGTAGCCGAGAGGGAGAGAGAGAGAGAGGGAGCCAATGAGGAAGAGATAAGCTTTGGCCATCCATCATTTCCTTTGGCCATAGTCCATAAATGAGTATATATGACATTATCTCTTAGTGACATAAGCCATGACCTAATCCTTTGATGACCTAAACCATGACCCAAGCAAAGGCCATTACATATAGGGAAAGGGAACCCCACATGAAGACCCCTCATCTCACGCCAACCTCACCATCTTCTTCTTCTTCTTCCTTTGTTTCTTGTTTTCTCACTTTCGGCCCGAGAAGCTCACGCCCAAACCAACCCTGAACCGGCCTGTGTTTCATCTCGTTTCCTACCCTAGAGCCCACGGTTTGGCCTTTGTAGGCCTAGGTTTACTTGGTCACGCAAGAAGGAAGCAAGGAGGAAGCCCGAAATTTCCCGAGCTCACCCATTTCTAGCCCGTTCTCTAGTGTTGTTAGTTGTTGTGTAAGTGAATTCCCTAATATCGGGAAAGGAAGTTGTGATACGTTGTAACATGGGTTGTTTGGCTCGTTTCTTGGTTTCGTGGTTGATTTACTTGGCCCATTTTCTTGGTCTCATGGTTGTTCGTTCTTTCTCAACTAACGATGTTCACGTGTGATGTTTGTTTTGTTGGTTTCGTAGCATGACTTTGCTATTTGAATTGCCATCGATGCCGGTACGGTAAGAATCGACTTGTGTGAACGACGATTGTCTCGTCCTCGCTTGATATTAGAGTTTTTACTTGCTGAGTCTCCCCGACTCATTCCCCGTTGTCTCCCTTTTTCAGGTCCGTAGGATGGCATCTCCCCCAGCTCGCGTTGGCAATCCCGTGGAGATGAGAGTCGAAGTGCTCACCGTGATAAATGTCAGAGAAGACCGCGCCTACCGCCGAATCACGACGCTTGTGATGTTCGATGAGGGCCTAACGGACTTGGTGCCTCATCCTTACGTGGCGTGGTATCACTACGCGAACGGAGAATGGGTTGATCCCTATGTGGGTTCAACGGTGCTTTGGCGGTGCGGGCGGGCCGGCTCCGGGACAAGGCCACGGGTGGGATGTGAGATGGCCAAGCGGACGAGACCGGGGTGGAGATGAAGAAGCGAGGAGCGAGAAGCCATAGTGGGTATAGGATAACCCAAGTCAAGTTTTGCTATCCTTAGTTGGCTTGTATTTAATATGTTTGCATACGTTGTAAACATAAGGTTTGCTCATGATACTTCTTGTCTTATTCCGCTGTGTGTATTGATTGTGATTGTCCCGAAATTATGCTTCCGCTTGTGTATAAAGAAAGATAACAATAAACGGGACGTCACATGAATAACCCCGAGATGGGGGCGTTACACCGGTGACCCTCGCCGAAGGCCTCACGCTCTACCAAACTGGGCAAGGGCCGCCTCACCATCGACCGGTATGGCCGTGAGGGCCCCTGGCGAGGCCATTGCGGCCTTGCTGGCCGTGAGCGAGGCTGCGAAGGCTCTCGCCAGATCTAACGAGGCTGTATTGTTTGCGGCTGCAAAAGCCCTAGATGGGTTTTGCCGGTCGTGAGTGAGGCGGTGAAGGCTCTCACCAGATTTGGTAAGGTTGCCTTGTTCGCGATCGTGAAAGCCCTTCACGAGGCCATCGCGGCCTCGTCGGTCGCGGGTGAGGCGGCGAAGGCTCTCGCCAAATTTGCCGAGGCTGCCTCGCCCACGGCGGCGAAAGCTCTTACCAAATTTGGCGAAGCCGCCTTGCCCACGGTCGCCTAGATCTGGCGACAGCCTTCGTGGCCAAGGGCAAGGTGGCTCTCACCCAATCTGGGCAAGGCCTTCACAACCGGCGAGGGTCACCGGTGACCCTCGCCGGCATTGAAAAAAAATTTTGCAAAAAAAAAAAAGAAAAAAGAAAAAAATTCAAAAATTCAAAAAAAATATTAAAAAATTATCTACGTTAGCTCCGACGAAGCCACGTAGGATGATCGGCTTCCACGTTGGATTTTCCAGCAAGGCAAATCGCCGATAGCACTCAAGTGATCAATTTTTCAAATTTATGGCATTTAAGTGAGCGAAAAAAAGTTATGATACTTAAGTGAGTGCCGTACAAAAATTATGACACTCCTAGTGTCCTTATCCCATTTTATCACTTTCCCTCCCTACTTCTCTATCTCATAATGATGATCCCATAAGAACAAGCTATTATCATCAAACCAAAGTCAAAAACGGTTTTCATTCCATATAAGAAGAAATTGCAACTTATTATTAGAACGGATATGCAGTTTATGATAGAGTCAGCAAAAACATATGTCTATCGAACAAATTACCCTAATCGTGCCAATTATTCACTCAATTAGCAGCATAAATCACTAAAAACAATTCCGATCCCAAAAGAAAATGCACGTGCGCACAAATTATACTATTGATTTGAGATTTCTAGATTTTCTCCAAATTTATATGTCCCAAAAACTACAAACATGAAAATATGTACCTTTTGAGGCGAAGGAGGCAGCGTGGTAGAGAGCAGAGCATCAACGCGCGAGTCAGGAGGGGAAGAGAGAGAGAGAGAGAGAGAGAGAGAGAGAGAGAGAAGAGAGAGAGAGAGAGAGAGAACCAGAACGTCCTTGAAGAAGGTTTTAGAGAGGAAGATGGAGAAGGAGAGAAGTCGAGTGATTTGACAACGGCGGAGGCAACGAATGAGCCAAAGCTACAGCTAGCGGCGTAGTTCATTGGATGAGAGCCCGATCGTGAGTAGGGAGGGAGAAAAACTAAGAGAGAGCATAGAGCGCGAAGAGCAAAAGAGAGATCTATCGCGGAGTTGAGAGAATCGCTCACAAGAGTTCAAAATTTTTCTGATAGGTGGCTCTTGAGTGACACATGTTGTAAGGTGAATGGACACATTTTTTACTGAGTTGACATCAGAGTAGTATATAATATTTTTTCCGGGCAGTACAGTTGCAGGTGGGGGGAACCGTGGCGCCCAAACTGCTGATTCACATCATGTTTATGCCCAACCGTATCCAAATGATTTATCCAAAGATTTAGATATGTATAAATCATAATTTCGACAATGTTATCGCCGTTTATAAGTGATTTTACAAAGTTAAAAGTAATTACCTGAAATTAGTTAGCAACTTTTAAACATGGGGGGCATTTTCCTTATTAAAGCAAGGGCGCGCGAACTCTCGCCCATATCTTGGCCAAGTGAGGGCTTGGCGGCGAGGGTTGCTAGCCCTCACTCCAAAAAATAATAAAAATTAAAGAAATGAAAGACAAAAGAAAAAAAAAACCAAAAAGATATAAAGATAATTCAAAATATTATAAAAAAATGTTCACGTTAGCACCGACTATACCATGTAAGTCACCCGGCGTTTACGTTAGCAATTTCTGGCCAAAATTGATTGGATGGACTCAATTAGCAAAATGTGAAAATGTTTATTTGGTACAATTAAAAGGCTTATGATCGAATTGGCAAAAATACAATAGATTTATGACTTTTTTTTGGTAATTTTCCCTAAAAAAATAAAAAAGCCATAGCTACAAAATATAAGTTAATTGAGGGTGGAAACTGAGGGTGCGCATGAAATCATTTATGTTTCTCTATTTTTCTATTTTTAGGAACAGGTTTGGAACAGAAATCCGTTTGGTAACATAATTTCATTTTTCTATTTTTGGAACAAATTTCTATTCTAGAAATAGGTTTGGAACAGAAATCAGAAGTAAAAAAAATCTACTTTTCTATTTCTGGAACAAAAATGAGAAATAAAAACTCTTCTCATCGCTCGCCCTCGCTACTAGCCGGCCACCCCCTTTCCGCCGGCCGCCTCCCGCCACCATCAGCTGCCTCCCACCGTCGATGGCCGGTCGCCTCCTCCCACCGCCATCCTCCGCCATTCGCCGCCGCCCAACGCCGGTCGCAATTCGCCCACCACCGCCTCCCACCGTCCTTTGCTGCCACTTGCCGGCCGCTTGAAAGCCGTCAGCCACCGCCCGCTAGCTGCCGTCCACCGCCCACTGCCTCTTGCCGTCGACCACCGTCCTCCGCTGCTCGACGCTGGCCGCCAACCACCACCGACCATTGTCCTCCACCGTCGGCCGCCGTGCTCCACCTCCCGACCCCGGCCGCCTCTGGTCGCCCTCTGCCGATGGCCACCCACCACCATCGCTATCCTCCACAGTAGATCGGCGTCCCCCGCCGCCGTGATCTGCCGCCTGCCGCTGTACTCCGCCACTGGCTGCCGGCCACCGCTCGGCACCGACCGCCTACCGCCGCCGACTGTCGTCGGCCGACTCCCGCTGCCGGCCACCATCCTTCGCCCCCGCCGCCACTCGACATTCTCCGCCGGCAGCTCAGAAGGGAAAAATTTTGTGTTGTTGTCAAACGAATTTCTATTTCGAAAATAGAAATTTTGTGTTGTTATTAAAGGCACATTTTTGCTCAAAAACTCATCTAGGGAATAGAAATAGAAAAATCTATTTCTGGCCAGAAATTGATTTTTGGAACAGAAATGTTATCATTCGTGCCCTGATTTTCTGCATATCAAAGGTAAGAGAAGATGTGAATACACAAATATGACTACATCTAAATAATCTTGCTTGCATATTATAAAAGATAACCCTATTCTACACAAAATCTAGGACAAGGACTATTGTTGATCAATGCGAGCAATGATAAATAGGAACGTCAAGCCCTAATTAGGTTGTATATAGAACTCAAACGTGAGAGGCGAATTAACTTTTTGGGGAAGAGATTATATAACTACTAGTGAAGTGCCTGAATGCTGAGGTACAACACTATTTACGATTACGATACCCTAACAAAATTACGTGATCACATTTTCGATTCAAGGGAAAAAGGAGAAGCGTTTAACATCTATTAACATCTATTGCATTAGTACTCTCATAACCACCAATCTGGCTTACCTAATGAGAAAAGGTGTACCTGTCTTTTATGTAATCATGTCGTGAGTGAACTTCTCGTGCTGTATTGCCTAGTCGTAACATACCTCAATGATTAATAGTATGGTCATTCCATTGTTTTACTACCCCAGATAATTGACCATCTCAGCTGATCATTCGTCTACTTCTATCACAAGGCAGAAAAATAATGAAAAGTATCATGCGAGAGATACCGCAATCAATCAAATGGTGTTATATCTTTAACGAACAACGACGTGCTTGCTCCTCACAAGGATAATGAAGTCCACACTACACAAAGTAGATCTCTTCACTTGCCCAATTTACACCGAATTCAAAAAAAAATTACGTCAAATTTAAGCTCACTATTAATTAGTAAAACCCTTATTTACATTCTAGTAAATTATAGTTTATAATGAAGTTTGACTAATTCAAATCAAACTCACAATATTAATCAGATCGCTAGTCAAGTCAACCGGACCAGAGATAAAGTTGAATATGACTTCTTGCTTTCACATCAAGTGACTCATCAATCTTGACACAAACACAAATAATAACAAAAATCCACGAGCATTGATCGTTATATAATAGGCATTGGCAACATAAAAATCGCAGCACTAATAAATTAATTAAATTAAAAAGGCTATGTAAGTTGGGCATGCACATCGATTTTTATACGGCGCGGTTTTAGGAAAAGCTCGATTAAGTAAAACCCGTAAGTTCATGTTGTGTTCACGACCATATAGATAACTTTAATATAGTTATAAATTACAATGAAAACATTATTTCAGTTATAAAAAGATTGTAGACTAATAGAACTTGTGGAAAATTGGAAAATGAAAGGCGCTGGAGCATTTAATCTCCGCAAAAGTTGTCGCAAGAAGAAGACGAAGACCTATTCTCAGAAGGAAGAACAAGTAAAAGGACTCGACAACACCACCCGTCTGGGTGGCGCTGCTGGAAAGGGCACTCTTCCTCTCGCAAAAGGTTGAGTGTTCGAATTTCGGGCGCCGCAGGGTGACTTAACCGGTGCACGTGTGTGGTGGCTAACACGTGTCGCCCCCAGGGTTTACCTCCCGGCTGTCGACCGTGCGAGGGTTTCCTGGGTTACCAAAAAAAAAAAAAAGGACTCGACAACTTGTTGGGGTGCTTCCCCCCCACGCGTGGAACGGGTCAGCCTATCCAATATCATTGACGGACAATATCATTGATTGTCGTCACGTGAATCGTAGCCAATCAAAACGTGGATCTAGGGGAGGGAATCACTTTTAACTTATCCTATCATAAGAGGATTGAAATCATTAAAAATTTTAAATTTATATATCATGACATGTTTAACTCAAACTAATTTTCGTCTTCTAAAAAATCTCAAACTAGTATCTCGTGATATATTTACCCAAACTAAGTTTTGTCTCACGGAAAAAACCTACCTGGCACCCGACCCAAAACAACCCAAAAAAAACCTCGGTATCAACACACGTGGTAGATAACTGTAGAACATATCTAATGTGGAGAACGAAATATCCAATTGAAAATCCACACACGTTGATACGTATGTGTTTTTAAAGAAAGATAGATTTGGGTTAGAGGTGCTGGTTTAGGATTGATTCTTTGTAATATACAGATGAGTTTGGGATAAATGCATTATGGATATCGCGAGATAAAAATTAATTTGGAATGATTAGATTATTAGGATACTGATTCCAGATTTTTAATGGTATTAATGGGAATGGTCTACAGATAATAATTCTAATTATAGCCCATGTTATTGGTGTCACTTTCAAGGAATGTGACTCGGCATGAAACCAATACCACAACCAATTAAAGAGTTGCATAAATAAAATAACAAGGACTTCCAGATGAATATGATTTTTTTTAGGGAAACATTTTGGTGCTTGACCAACAAAAAAGATAGACTTTGACCCAAAGAAGCTTGTTTGAACGGGTTACACCCAAAGTCAATATAAAGCGTGCACGCAAGAGCTTATTCTTCACACCACTAGCCTGTGTACACAGAACCTCCATTTCATAGCACAGGCAGTCTCCCTCTCTTGTCATGGCTGCTCCAATTTTCATTCTCCTCCCATTGGCAATCCTCTTCACAACAGCAGCTTCCCAGGGACAGAAGAACATCAGCCTCGCCGACACTCTCACGCCCACATCCAAATCCTCGTGGCTCTCGCCTTCCGGCCTCTTTGCGTTCGGATTCTACCAGAGAGGCGACGATTATTACGTGGGGGTCTTCCTTCCGGGGACTTCGAATAAGACCGCGGTCTGGACTTACGGCCGAGATAACCCTCCGCTTCCTAGCAATTCCACTCTGCGTTTTGACAGCAGTGGAAGGCTCGTTCTTCGGTCAGCACAAGCACAGGATGCATACGTCGCCACTCCTATCGGTACGACCGCTTCGGCTTCAATGCTCGATTCGGGGAACTTCGTTCTTTACAACTCTAGCCAGGGTGTCGTATGGAAGAGCTTCGACACGCCAACGGATACCATTTTAGGCGGTCAAACTCTATCGGCATCACAAGAGTTGCATTCAAGTGCTTCAATCTCTGATCCATCCACGGGTCTCTTTCTAGCAATCATGCAGTTAAATGGAGTGCTTGCGTTATATCCCGACGGCACTCCATTTACTGCTGAATACGGTTACTGGGATTCCGGGACACCTGATAATGGTGACAATGTGACGCTACGTCTTGACGATGATGGGTTTCTCTACCTATCGAAACCCCCAGGCATATACCTATACAATTTCACGAGCCAGGGACTTTCTACAGAAGATATGATCTATCTTGCGAGGATTGACCCAGATGGGCTTTTCCGGCTATACTCATACAACATAACCAGGAAGGACGATTGGTCCGTTCAAATGGATGTCCCAACCGACAGATGCAGCCCCAAGGGCATATGCGGGCTTAATGGGTTTTGTACGAATATTGATCAGGATTATGCGTGCCCGTGTCTTCCAGGATTCGCATCTGTGAAGGACGGCAACGGGACAGCAGGGTGTGAGAGGAACTTCACCGCAGAAAGCTGCAAGAACCCCACTGCCAGCTACGACATGCAATCTGTTTCTAACACCATATGGGAGGACGCCACGTATTCCGCTCTTACATCGTTGACCCAGGACGAATGTGTAGAGGCGTGTCGGCAGGATTGCAATTGCGAGGCTGTTGCATACAATTCCAGTCAGTCCTGCAACAAGCAGAAGCTTCCTCTAAGATTCGGGAGGAGACTCGTTAGCGGGAACTCAAACTCACTACTTTACGTCAAGGTAGGTAATGCTGGATCTGGAGAAGACGGAAGAAATGGCTTTGAGCAAAAGTATACTCGGAGAGACATTCTGATTGCAGTTGCGTCATCTATTGCTTTTGCAATCGTAATGCTGGCAGTGTCTGGACTCATTGTTCACAAGAATCGTGTCTGGGTTTACGAAATGCTTCCAAAGGAGGGATTTCTCAGAACAATTGAAGATGTTGCTCCGACCGCGTATACTTTTGAAGACCTGAAGAAAGTGACTGGAAATTTTTCGGAAGAGATTGGCAGGGGAGCATTCGGAACAGTCTACAAAGGCACGCTGATGAAGGATCTGGACAGCAGCAAAGCCGTAGCTGTTAAGAAGCTAGAGAAGATCTCATCCGATGGGGAGAGTGAGTTCCAAGCTGAGGTGAAAACTATTGGAAAGACTCATCACCGGAATTTGGTCCGACTGCTAGGTTATTGTCATGATAAAGAGAACAGGCTCTTGGTGTATGAGTACATGAGCAATGGGTCACTTGCGGATGTACTCTTTAAAGCCGAAAACCAAGCCAGTTGGGATGTGAAAATGGGAATAGCTCGGAATGTTGCCAGAGGCCTTCTTTATCTACATGAAGAGTGCGAGACGCAGATCATTCATTGTGACATAAAGCCTCAGAACATATTGATAGATGACAACATGCAAGCGAAGATCTCTGATTTTGGGCTGTCCAAGCTGCTGAAGCCAGATCAGACCAATACCACAACAGGAATAAGGGGTACAAGGGGGTATGTTGCGCCGGAGTGGCACAAGAAACTGCCGGTGACTGTGAAAGCGGACATTTACAGCTTCGGAGTCGTGCTGCTGGAGATCATCTTTGACCGAAAGAGTGTGGATTGGAGCCTCCCTGAGGAGGAAGCTGTTCTTGAGGATTTGGTTTACCACTGCTTCCAGGCTGGCGAGCTGGATAAACTGGTGGATTATCAAAGTATTGACAAAAAACAATTGGAGAGGATGGTTAAAGTTGCACTTTGGTGTATCCTAGAAGAGCCATCTCTTCGTCCTTCGATGAGAAAGGTGCTGCTGATGCTTGAAGGCACGGTTGACGTTCCCATCCCCCCTTGTCCTACTTCCTTCCTCAGTGTCATCTGAATCATCTTCGCAACTGCACTAATCTCCACCAAAACCTGCTCGGGTTAGAGATAAATTAAGTTGTTTATACTATAGGCATTTCTGCAGCAGACATGTTTCTAAGTTTATCCGTGCAAACGTGCATTATCTGTCTGTCATTTCAACAGACATAAGTTCCCTGTTCTGCCCCATGTAATTCTTCGTTCTTATAGGAAGTAAAATAACCATGAGTTCATTTCAACAATTCCTTACTTTCCTGTGGTGGCAGATTTAGTGTATCAGTATGCGTCCTGTTAACTGCCCATGAATTTAAAAGAGCATAGAATGGGTCTTGAGGGAGAGGGGACAGCAATATTTCGCCTATGGACAAATTGTCCATGTAAATGTTCGATGCTGTTCTGCTAGATCAGCTGACCTCACGCGAAAGGTCGACAGAACCTCCCATCTTTCAGCCTCAAACCAGCTCAGAGACGTGAAAATTTTTCCTTAATTGCTTTTTTTGCGCTCCTAAACAGGATTTGCACCTATTTATGTGTTAAGAATCTGAGATTTAAATTAGTAAGAAATTTGTATACTTAGAGAGGATATCAGACGTCTCAAGTATGATAAGTGCGCTGAGAAGCAAACTCAAGAAGAATGATTCAAGAGAGTGGACTTCTCATTCCTTTTAGCTGTTCATGCGGGGCAGCTTTCTATTAAGTATGGTAAGATTTACACACGAAATTATACTATCCTTACATGAAGAAACTATTAGTATAATTGAAGTTTATTATGATGTAGCACACTCTCTTCTCACTCCCCCGAGCTTCTTCTCCGAGTTGGTCTCTCTCTCTCTCTCGTATTTTCTCTGCTTTTTTCTTCTCTAGTTAATCTAGTTTTTAGTTTTGGTTCTCTCTCCTTTTGCTGGTCGTGCATCCAAGCCTTATACAAAGGCTTGTTTACCAATTTTGAGAAGGGAAAGTCATCCCACGACTGTGATTAGGTTACAAAACTTGCTCCTCACGTCCACAATTATTAGTGTATTCTTTGACTTTGTCTTCACTTCTTGCGACTCAAATTTCTCTTTGCCAGCTGTAGTTGATGAAGCAAAGTCACTTAGTTATTCTGGCTGCTTGCTTGCTCAAGCTGTCTAGAGTCTTGTAGCCATAGGATTCTCTAGAAAAAATGGTCAAACTTCAACATCTCTAGCCTCAAAAGCCTACTACCAAGGAATAAACTATTGTGTGACAACGAATTTAACTTTTTTGAAGATTTGAAATATCTATATTAATTTAGATCTTATTGGAGATTTACCGATATTATGAGATTTATGTAAACTCATTTAGATTACTATTTTATCCGTCGTTTAGTCATATATCTGTACCATTGATCTTATTATAGACCTAGGCTAATGTAAAAACTTGAGTCTTCAAGATGTTTGGATTTGCTTTGTAATGGGGAGAGACTATTTTTACTCACTCCTTTTCTATCTGTATTAATTTCCTTACACACTGGCTTATGTGTGCTCTTATATACTAATAATATCAACGAGGTGTTGCTTTAGATGAAAAAGGAGAGTTTGCTTTGTGGGGAGTACTCTGAAAATAAAATCATAAATGCACAAGGTCGATGTGCGAGAATGCGTGCTTGGGATGGCCTGGGGAGGTGGACTAGTTGAAATGGACGAAAACTAACTTGGACCCGCATGGCCGCTAAACTCAAAAATATATATTAATACTACTAAATATGCATACGCGTTATGTGTATAGAAAATGGACATCTGAAAGATCAAGGAAAATGACTTTGTTTTGAAATATTCGAAGCATTAAAAAATTAAACTTATTATTGACGATTATACACATCATAAAGAAATTGTATCAATATACGTTAAAAGAGAAACGATCTCAAGATTTGGAATCTTTTTAAGGAAGGTTATTGCTTGATAGAAAATTTCCAAATTTTGATATGAAAACATTTTAGGGTCCATGGAAATTATATTTTTACAAAATCGAGAGTAGAAAAGACAATTGCAATCTTTTAAAAGTAGGAGATCTCTTTACGTGAACCCCCCAAAGTTCTTTCGTTATAGATTTGTATGTCTAAGTCAGGGCAAAAATCAAATTATTAAATTACGTCTTGAATTTGAGCTCCTTAAATAAGCACCGTCCAAAATTAGAGCAAGCGAGTATGGCTGGACAAATAAAATCCAACTGGTCATTTCTGTTTTGTCTCTTCCGGCAGTAATTTTGTGCATGCGTGACAGCTGGATATATAGGCTGCACGTGTCTTTTTTGGAGTAACTTTCGTTTTCTTATGTGTCCGCAAGAGAAAACTTCTACAGGCTACACCTACTTATTGAAGAAAGATGATTCCTCCTTTGGCATTAACAGAAGTTGCACGAAGACGACCGAGAAGATGAATTCTTCCATGCACACATAAATGGAGGCCCTACCTTTGACAATATTATATTAGGTGTGGACTATTTCTGTTCCTTTCATCGATTCCCTTCCAAGAAGGGAAGACTTCTTCATGTGTTATAAATGAGAGCGGGCTCTTCTTTGTCTGCAAGCAAGAACAAGCAGAGCATTTCTTCAATTAAAAGAAGGATCTCTTTTGAACACGTGATGTTTTGTGCAGAAAATTCTTGATTGTTTTTAGCAGTGAGCTAATTCTCATTATATATTGAGCAATTACATGAAGCTAAGCACTGTGAGTTTTGGTATAATTATAGGGCTGTGAAATACTCTGTGGAGATGCACGTATGAGTTGTATTGAAGAATTCGCATATTGGAGAATTGGTGTATTGTAGAGCAGTTAATATATCCAAATTGGCCTATAACTCATTCACTTAAGTTTTAGCACGAAGAACAAAAGGAAAGGATGAACAGTAAGGGTGTCAATGGGTCGGGTTTTCATGATACGCGACCCGACCCGAAATACTAGATATGCGTATTTAGCTATATGTCCAAATGTAGTCACCCTTTGGTGTTGCTTGAGAGTTTCGCTGAATATTCTCCCATGAGAGTTCTCTTACCAGACGCGAACAACCGCTTCTGTCTGGGAAAATTGCAGGTGAAAGAATGACTTACAATTGGATGACGGAGGTAGAGTTGCCGAGGAGGACGAAGTTGACGACGGCGGGCAATTTCACGTTCTGGAGGAGGACGAAGTTGAACGACAGTGTTACAAAGTGAAATGTGTTTCAGTTCTAAAAATAAAAATATATGTGTTTCGGTTCGTGTTCATAACACGAACCGAACCGAAATCATCAAGATACCCATTTGCTTAGCTAATAACCGAACATGAAGTTAACCCGGCCCGAAAATACCCAAAACTTCGGGTCGGTTCGTGTTCCGGTTCAGGTATATTGTTTAGTTTTGACACCCCTAATGAACAAGACGTTCTTCATTCAGTCGTGCGAAAAAGTTTTTGCTTTTGTCTTGAACATCTGGTGATTTGTGTTGTGAGTTTTACATTCACTTGAGTTATTTATTTGTAAATACTTTAGGATTATTTCCTATTGGCTCTTTTCGTGGAGTAGGTACCGACACTCGGATCAAACCCACGTAAATCTCTAGTATCCTTATTGTTTTTTTGTTGATTTATCTAGTGATTTCACGTTGATTTAAATTGTAAGATCTTATTAGTTTCCGAGTTAACTTTGCAACAATGGTATCAAAGCTTGAGGATAGGATATTCTAGATTTTGATTTGTGGCTTTTACTTATCTAATTATTATTTGAAAACTCTGTTGTTGCAATTATATATTAAGCAAAAGACGAAATTGAGAAGTTTAATGGGAGGAACAACTTTGGGTTATGGAGCGTCAAGATAGAGACACTATTAACAACTCAAGGTTTGGTTGAAACATTGGAGGGCAATGATAAGTTGCCCGAAATGGAAAGATGCCAAAAAGGACGTTCTAATGAAGAAAGCAAAAAGTATAATCTTGTCGAACTTATTTGGAAGATGTGTTAATAAAGGTAATTGTGGAGAAGGATGCAGCAGCATTGTGGGCAAAACTTGCAGGCACTGTATGTAACGGAGAGTTTGAACAATCATTTATACATTGTTGAAGAGGATGTTTCAATTTAGATATATTGAAGGTACTTCTATCATATCCCACTTATATGAGTTTAATAAACTCATGATGGATTTAAAGGACGTTGGTAAGATCGTGGATGATGAAAAACATGACATGATGTTGTTTGCTTCTTCACCAGAGTCATGGGAGGACTTTACCGATTCACTGCTACAGGGGTGTACTATGATTATTTTGAAAAAGGTAAAATTCGCTTTGTTCTCTAAGGAGTGGCAGAGAAAGTTGCGAGATGACATTCTACCATATAATATAACGTTGTGACTAGTGATTCGAGGTAGTGACCAACACTAAAGGTCCAATAGCAGCAGAGGTAAATAAAGGTCGAAGTTACGCCATAAAAAGTTTAAGGGATACGTGAAGTGCTTTGAGTGTTACAAAGAGGCGCCCATAAGGAGAGATTGTTCAAAGCTGAGATACAGAAGTAATGTGGCAAATGTCGCCGAGGAGAGCACCGGTGATGCAAAAGTTATCTTGTGTGTAACTAGCAGTTCGTTAGGAGACAAATGGGTGCTAAATTCTGTGTATTCTTATCATATGACACTTCATTTGAACTGGTTTACTACTTACCAGACTGCATATGGTGGTAGAGGTTTGATGGGGAATAAGGTAGCCTGCAAGGTTGTGATAATGGGGATAGTTCGGATTCGGATGTACGACTGGGGGTTGCGTACAGTGACAAACGTGAAGCATGTATCAAAGCTCAATAAGAACCCTATTTCTCTAGGGACACCCGATGATATCGGGTCTAAGTACAATACTAAAGGTGGTGTACTGAAGATCTCTCAAGGTGCCATGACAATGATGAAGAGGAAGAAAGAGACCGTGATAAGAGCCGCGTAGTTTCATCAGGTGAGTCAGACTTTGACTCGACTTAATTACTCAATTATGGCATATGCAGTTTTGACACATGATTGAGGCATGTATGACGATGCTGAGTGAGAGGGGCTTGTTGAAGGGTTAGAAGACAGGGAAGTTAGACTTATGTCAGCACGACATCTTTGGGAATGATTAAGTTTACTACAGCTATTCATTCGACCAAGTAACCAATAGAATACATTCATTCGGACGTTTTGGGGCACATCTCCGGTTCCTTTGAAAGGAGGTGCCCGTTTTATGTTGACATTTATCGATGATTGTTTGAGGAAGGTATAGGTATACTTTTTG